TTCCTTTCGCCGTCACTATACGATAATTCTCCAAGTCACCCTTCTTTTCTCTTGGTTTCTAAAAAATATGAAGGGTTTGAGGTTAGCTGTCGTGTAAGCATTGTGCTCCCGTAATTTGATCGTTTAAAAATAGTATATTGGACTGTATCATATTAGATTTATCAAAAAAGTGGATAAAACTCTTCAATACGTGTGTGAGAGTGATATCAAGACATATAATACGCGGATTGGACTATATTATTACTAATCTTACAGTGAACTATCAATAACAATAAATCTGTTTAAATGTGCTATTTGTGTCGCAAAATAGTAGTAAATAGATCTAATGTTAAACAGTGAGACAAATTAAAATAGAAATATAAAACAATAAATACTTTAGAAACTTAAAAAAAAAAAAACTAAATTCGCATTGAAAGTGACGGTTGAAGAAAAATTTTCAAACAAATACAAAACACTCATAACAAATCTGTCATTTATATCTGTTTGTAATAGAAGCACTATTTTGAGCGACCTAGTAACACGTCACGGTGGCGTATTGGCCACGCATTCAAGTTGGGCCACTGAGACCAGGTTCAAATCTAACCTGTACATTTGACTTTTTGTGAATGTTTTAAGTTTCAATTCAAATTCTAAATATTATAAACAAAACAAACATATAATAAAACTATAAATTATAAACTCGACAAAATGGATTTTCTGCAAAATATTACTTTCCGCCGTGCACGGACTCTGTCGGATTCAAATACAAAATATGATAACAGTTATGAACTAAACGAAACACTGGATGACAGCACAAGTAGTTTACCGAATAAAAACGTATTGATCGAAAATAGCGATAAATTAGTGTCTAACTTGAAAGGACGAATTAAAGAACTTTTGTCCGAATTAAATAATGCTCGTCAGGAGATTGAGTGCCTTTCCACAGAAAACAGTAATCTTAAACATATCAATGAAGAGTTAATGAAAAAAAATTATTCCTTAACAAATAACACCTGCAACCAATCACTTAATAAACAAATACAAAATACTACACCTAGTAAAAGAAAACAAAAACAAGGTACACATTCACAGTCAAGTGAGAAGTCAATTAAGAATTCTACTATTCAAAGTGAAATAACCATAACAAAATATCCCGTTAAGAAACAAGAAAGCAAATTAGAGAAGGAAAAGGATAGTATAAAGAAGAGAAAATTATGTATTCTAAATGGCTGCAACTACAACGGCACACTAAGTATTATAGAGCGCACATTTGAAGAAAAATTTAACTACTGTCAATTTATGAAACGTAACAGCAGTTTGAAAGAACTCATGTCAGACATCAAGAACAAGATCTATAATTTTGATGAAGAAGATTATTGTATAATTATGATTGGTGAAAGTGACTTTAAAAAGAATGTGGATCCAATTGAATTAGTCAGATTAATTAGAGAAACCCTAATAGAAATAAGTAACACAAATATAATTTTATGTACCCCCACATATGTACTAGGAGCCCCTATATATAATTACCGAGTAGAAATATTTAATAATTTACTTTATATGGACATTGAAAATTATAAATATGCATATTTCTTTGATACTAACTACGACTTAACTTATGAAATGTTGTCGAATAAAACAGGTAAAATTAACAGATTAGGTATAAAATGTATATTTGTAAGTATCTTTAAGCGTATTCTTGTTGACTTAGAAACTGAATTCAATTCGCCAACATTAATAACCACTGACAGTGTCAAACAAAACAGTTTTTTTTCGGTCCATCTAGTAAGACATCTCTTGATAACATACAACAATTTATATTATTTCACCAGAATATAGCAGGCATATTAAACAAAATAGAGCATTTTGAAATAGTAATGACCGATTTGAGGAAGCATATTGGAGATATAGACTTTATTTGCTTTAGCGAAACCTTTTTAAAATCTGGTCATGAAGGCAACCTACAGTTAGAAAATTACAGTTTAGCTGCTAATTTCTCAAGACAGGATAAAAAACGGGGTGGGACATGTATACTAGTAAAAAAAAGGTATATATTTTACTCCGTTGTCGGTAATTAATGATTTTGCGACAACATATTGTTTTGAATGTTGCGGTATAGAATTGCCGAGTTATAATCTTTATGTAATTTGTATTTATAGAACACCAGATTCCGACACATCTATTTTTTTTAAAAATCTAGAACTTGTATTATTCAAATTAACTCTTAATAGTAAAAAACATATCGTTATATGTGGAGATTGGAACATAGACGTTCTCAAAGAGAATACGCAGAAAAAGGAATTAATATCAGTCCTCAAGAACTTTAATTTGCTAACTCACATAAACTTACCTACTAGAAGAAAATCTAGTATTGACCAAATAGCCAGTAATATTTCAACCAATAATGTGAATACTAATATACATAACTTAGCTCTCTCGGACCATGATACAGGTCAATCATTAATTTTCTATCTTCCAAAAAATAACAATAATGTTAAATCAATAAAATTTTGGTATGAGACTGTGAGAGATTTCAATGAAAATAACATTAATAAATTTCTAGAATGCATAACAGCTTTAAGTTTTGATGAAGTATACAGAGAAACATGCTGCAACAAGTCGTTTAACGTTTTTCATGACCTTTATACTCTTTTTTTCAAATTGTGTTTTCCCGTAATACGCGTTAAGAAAGGCAATAAACCTGTAAAAAATAAATGGATAAGTAAGGGATTAAAATTATCGTGCATTAAAAAAAGAACATTATATTATAAATATATACATGATGCTATAAGCAAAAACTTTCACAAGAAAAATTATCTTATATATTCTAAAATATTAAAGAAATGTATATCAAAATCTCAACGAATAAATAATGATAAATATATTTTTAACTCTAAAAATAAATGTAAAGCGACATGGTCTATTATAAAACATAATTTTGATAGTTCTGTTGATAAAAGTAATATTGAAAACTTAGTTTACCAAGATAAAACTATTAATAACCCTAATGATATATGTAACCTTATTAACAACTATTTTATTGAACTTACTCATAAAGATAATTTTGATGAATTGAATAATGACTTGAATAACATTAATATTCCCGCTCAAAGAGATAGCTTGTTTTTAACCCCAGTAACCGACACTGACGTTATGAAAATTATTAACACTTTGAATGATACACACGCTACCGGTTATGATGAACTCACAACAAGAATAATTAAATTAAGTGCTAAACATATAGCAATTTCTCTGAGTTACATAATTAATTTGTCGTTAGAACAAGGAATATTTCCTACAAGACTAAAAATATCCGTAATTAGACCTCTATTTAAAAAAGGTGATCGTACAAACATTGATAATTATAGGCCTATCACATTAATACCAATAATGGCAAAAATTTTTGAAAAAGTAATGCATGATAAAATTAGTAATTATATTAATAAGAATAAAATTCTTGTTGACAATCAATTTGGATTTAGAAAAAGTAGTTCCACTACACTAGCTTGCTTTAATTTAGTTAAGTTGGTCACAGAAGCACTTAATAACAAAATGTCGACAATATCAATATTTCTAGATATGAGCAAAGCATTTGACTTTGTCTCGCATAAACGATTACTTTTCAAACTTGAGAGGTATGGAATTAGAGGAAAGTCACATGATTGGTTTAAAAGCTATCTGTCGAATCGCCAGCAAAGAACGTTACTCTCAAAAATAGAAAATAATTCGAAAGTTACATATGAATCTGAACTTAAACTTAATAGTTGTGGTGTGCCGCAGGGCAGCATTCTAGGGCCATTTTTATTCATTATTTATATTAATGATCTCTGTAGTAACCTAAAACATAAATGCACATTGTTTGCTGACGACACTACACTAACCATAAGCTGTTTAAACAAAAATAATCTCGAATTTGAAACTAATAATGAGTTACAAAATGCAGTGCAATGGCTACAAGAGAATAATCTACATGTCAATTTAAATAAAACTAAATTAATACAGTACCAAACTCTAAATTCAAAGTGCCACCCTGTTAAAATACAATATAATAATACTGTTTTGCAACCAGTACAATCTACATTATTTTTAGGTATAATTATTGATGGTAAATTGAACAGGAAAGAACATGTAGATAAAGTGTGTAGTAAACTCGATAAATTTGTATTTGCTCTTCGTAAACTAAGACTCACAGCCAGTAAAGAAACAGTCCTCAGTGCATATCATGGGTACGTCTCTTCAGTACTTCGCTATGGATTAGTTATATGGGGTAATTCAGTGAATATAGGCAGGGCGTTTAAAGCACAAAAAAAATGTATTAGATCCATGTGTGGCGCTAATTATTTAGATCATTGTAAGCCATTATTTCAAAAATTAAAGATACTTCCACTGCCCTGTCTCTATATTTTTGAAATATGTTTGTTCGTTAAGAGATATTCCTATCTATTTCCAATAAATGAACGTGTTTCCAAGAGGATCCAAGACAGAAACCCAAACCAATTGGTGGCACCATCCCAAAGACTTTATTTGTATAGTCGTAATGCCCACTGCATGGCAATAACAATCTTTAATAAGCTGCCACCACAGATTAGACAGTTGCCTATAAATAAATTTAAACGTGCAATATTTTCTTGGCTCTTGGATATGTGTTTTTATTCTGTTAACGATTTCATAGATTATAAATTTATAAATTATACATAAATGAATGCTCCCAATATTGTATTAATAATAATAATAATATATATCTACAATTGATAATTCCTATATAATGTTATAAATGTATAAATTGTCTAAATAAGAACTATAAAGTGTTAAATATTATTCTAATTGTAATATTTCTACACCGGATACGGTAGTATATGTGAATCATTCTATAATTTCAACATGTGTAATTACCATATACTAAGAAATAAACGATATTCTATTCTATTCTATTCTATTCTATTCTATTCTATTCTTGGTCAGGTTCTCTCATGCTGGAGTCAAAGGTTACATGAAAGTGTTAGGTTAGTTTATATGCTTACCATTTGGGTCGGGCTGCCTGCGGTCGACGTCGTCCCGGTCGGGGGAGGCGGGGGACGCGGGCGAGGCGGGGGAGGGTGACGCTGGGGAGGGGGGAGGCGGGCGAGGGCGAGGCCTGGTCGGGCGAGCGCGTGGCGCGCGCGGTGTGGCGCTGCGGCGCCGCGCACTCGCCACAGATCACCTCCGACCCCGTGTACGTCACCTTCTCGCCGGAGGGGAACGCGCGCCTGGAACCAAGCGCGTCATCATTTTATACAATACATATACTACACATAATCTCTAATTGGATGAGATGTGCCCTTGCGTCTTCAATAGTCTACCGGGTGACAAACGAGCACACAGTTCAATTAATAGTGAGTATTCACTCACTGTGGTCCATAAACGTCTACATTTATCCGCAATTAAGATTCAAATTTCAGATGCGTTGTGATCCTTGAGGACTAAGATGGAATATCCCGTTACCAGTGAAAAGGTCTGAGATTCCCTACATAGCAACATTAAGCTACAATTTACACTGGTATTCTGTAAGCGCGTGGTCCAACCCCGATTGAGTAGATCCATTTGTACTACAACTATCACATAGCTGTAGCGTGGCTCTACCACGTATAAATTTGGTAATACATATATATTTACAGAACACGCTCCTGAGTTTATCAGTCGATTCTTTTACACCACCACTTTAAGGTGGGTGATTTATTATTGCACACCTCAAACGCGGAGAGAGGTTTACTATCGACTTGACAAGGTCACGATACTCTCTCACATTAATGAATATTTTCTCGTGGATTATTATTGAAAGAAAACTATTCAATAATAATGGATGAAAACTAAGAGAAACATTCATTTTCACAGTTTTCAGTTGTAAGTCGATTAAGAAGCTAATCTAGATTCCTGTACCTATGACAATTAGTCGAATAGGCTTCCTGTATCTGCAAACCTTAAATACTCTGACCTTAAATAAGCAGACTAGCAAGGATATGGAACATTTAATACTGCAGTTATCGATTCGCTTGCAAAACATGGTCCTTAAGAGAAATTTCCTTATATTTTTTATACGTGGTAGAGCCATGTTGCAGTTATATTGTAGTATAGTTGTAGCACGAATGGGACGGCTCGACCGGGGAAGGACCACGCTCTCACAGAATACCAGCGTCAAATAGTAGCTTAATGCTGCTGTGTTTCGTATGGTGAGTGTAGAGACCGGAGACACTTTTTACTGGAAACGAGGCATTCCATCTTAGTCCTCACGGGTAACAACGCATCTGCATTTTGATGCGTAATCGAGGATAGATGCCGATGTCTATGGGCCGAGCAACTACTTACCATCAGGTGGACTGTGTGCTCGTTTGTCACCCTATCCTATAAAAAAAATTAAAAAAAAAATCAATGTGGACGAGATGAGACGCTAATGTGTAAGCAGAAACCAGGCAAAGAACAGGCAAAAATTAGTTTTAAAGTCAAGCAACATTCAAATTTAACTGTCTACTGCATTGCAGAAACATTCGGTCTCATACGGCGACAAGTAATTGAGGTCGCGCAAACGTTAAAGATTGCCTACCTGCAGTTACAACTGAACTAAATTACCTATAATAAGCGCTGGTACAATTAAAAGACAGTAAATGAAAACGTTAAAAAAGTCATACGTAATAACATAAAAGAGCAATCGTTACAAGTAAAACCGCCTCGCAACAAATATATTGCCAAAGAATCAAGAATTTTCACACCAAAACCATAAGAAAGTTATGTAGTAGAGTCACAGAATACCAGCATAAAAGTGTTTCGTATAGTGAGTGTAGAGATCCGCAGACCCTCTTTTACTGGAAACGAAGCATTCCATCTTAGTCCTCAGGGGTGACAACGCATCTGCATTTTGATTCTTAATCGGAGATAAATGTAGATGTCTATGGGCCATAGCCTCCACTTACTATCAGGAGGACTGTGAGCTCGTTTGTCACGCTTATTCTATAAAAAAAAGAAAAAGCGATCTTAAAGCAAAAAAGTTTTTTTTTCGAAAGTTTCAATTGGGCAAATAATATTGAACATACAATCATATTAACATTCATCATCATCATCATTACAGCCCTTCACAAGTCCACTGCTGAACATAGGCCTCCCCCCAGGGGTGTGCCACAAAGCACGGTCCTGAACCACCTGCATCCATTGACTTCCTGAATATCTTACCAGGTCGACACTCCATCTAGGGGTGGGGTCGCCCTACACTACGCCTACCGGTACGAGGCTGCCACTCGAGAATCTTTCTTCTCCATCGGTTATCGGTTCTTCGAGCTATATGGCCGGCCCATTGCCACTTCATCTTACTAATCCGTTGGGCTATGTCGGTCACTTTAGTTTTACTGCGGATAACCTCATTTCTGAGTCTATCACGCAGAGAAACTCCGAGCATAGCCCTCTCCATAGCTCGCTGAGCGACCTTGAGCGTCCTCGAACGGCCAGCAGTGAAGGACCACGTCTCAGATCCTTAACTCATCACTGGCAACACTGGTTGTACAATCTAGTTTTTAGAGATTGAGGTATACCTGACGAGAAGATATGTCGTAATTTCCCGAACGCTGCCCAGCCGAGTTGAATCCGTCGATTGACCTCTCGGTCGAAGTTGGACTTACCTAGTCGGACTATTTGTCCCAGGTAAACGTACTCGTCAACAACTTCGATCTTAGTGCTCCCAACAACTACCGGCATAGGTGTGACATGGACATTAAACATGATCTTTGTTTTGTCCATGTTCATCTTAAGACCTATCCGTTGGGCGACGCCATTGAGGTCATTGAGCATAGTGCTTAAGTCTATATCGTCGGCAAATCAAAGGTGAGTGATGTGCTCGCCAATGATGTTAATACCGTATCCTTTCCAGTCCAGTACCTTGAAAACGTCTTCCAATGCAGCGGTGAAGAGTTTCGGGGATATAACGTCACCCTGTCTTACACCTCTCTGCAGTTGGATAGGTTTCGAGCGCTGGTTCTGTACTCGGATAGCCATCGTAGCCCTACTGTACAAACACATCAGCACTTCGATATACCGACAGTCAACTTGGCAGCGCTGAAGGGACTGTAGCAACGCCCAAATTTCGACGGAATCAAAGGCTTTCTCATAGTCCACATACGCCAGGCAAACCGGCAGATTGTACTCTCCGGTCTTCTGTACAATCTGCCGCAGGGTATTTTTTTTGCGCCCGAAGCAAATATGCTCATAGCATACCACGCAGCCGGCTGCGTGGTTATGTGGAGACTTTTACCCACTAAACACCGCCTTTATGGATTGGCTTACCGATCTGACGAGAGATCTCTAAGCCGTATACGAACGCGAACCTCCTTGGCAGAGAGGAGGGCGCAGCCGCAGGGTATGTATGTGGTCTATGGTACTGAAGCCTTTTCGGAAACAGGCTTGTTCGGGAGGCTGGAAGACGTCTAGTCTGCGTGCGAGACGATTCGTAATGACTCTCGAAAACAGCACGTAGACGCGGCTCAGAAGGGAAATCGGTCTGGAGTTCTTCAAGAGAGCGTTGTCGCCTTTCTTAAAGAACAAGACCACCGCACTTCTGCTCCACGTCTCTGGAGTAGTGCCACCATGGAGGACGGAATTGAAGAGCTTCTGAAGGACTTCAAGTACCGGTGTTCCACCCGCTTTCAGAAGCTCCGCTGTAATTCTATCCTCGCCTGGGGCCCTGCCGTTTTTAAGGTGCTGGAGAGCCATTCTAATCTCGCTCGGCCTGACGTCCGGGATATCATTGGAATAGTGTCGGATAAGACTTGCTCTTGGATCGTTACTCACACTTGCGTGTGGCTCCAACGATGATGTGTACAGCTGCCCATAGAACCTCTCAATCTCACTCAAAATCTCAGGTGTCCCGGAAACGATGCTACCACACTCAGTCTTCAGCTTTGACAGCTGACTCTTTCTGGCAGACAGATCTCTGACAAAGACTTTGGAGCCCTGGTTACGCTCGATCGCTTCTTTAATACGAGCAGTATTAAAGTTGCGTAAGTCTCGCCGCATGGATTTGGACATCTGTCTGTTCAGTTGCCTGTATGCTCTTAAATCCGTTGACGATTGCAGCCTCATCTCCCGTCTAACAGCCATGAGATTAAGAGTGAGATCGGAGAGTTTTTGTGTTCTTCTGCGGCGGGTCTTGAAGAACTTAGCTCCGACCGCATGGACAGTTCCCACGAGCTTGTCATTCATATCGTCCAATGTATTGCAATCTTCTAGGCACTGAAAACGGTTACGTAACTCGAGCTGAAAGGTTTCGGGATTCTGCAGAGGGGGACGGAGCGTTGCTTCCTCTAATGCCTCTCATTCTGTCGCTGCCAGTTTTCACCCTTGCGATCACTGAGATATAACTGAACAGTTGGCGTCTGGTCGTAATAATTAAGTCAATCTCATTTTTTGTCGAACCGTCGGGGCTCGACCAGGTCCACTTTCTGTGGGGCCGCTTCTGGAAGAAAGAGTTCATCATAAAAAGTCCCTTTTTCTCCATGAGGTCGGCCAGCTGCTGGCCCCTTGGGTTCAGTTGCCCTATCCCAAATTTCTCTACCTTCAGCTCACCGTTCTTTCTTGTGCCCAGTTTTGCGTTGAAGTCTCCCATTAACACCGTATAGTGAGTTTTGGGGGAATTCATGGCTCTAGAAATGTCCTCATACATTTCCTCCACCTCCTCATTGGGATCTTTCGACGTGGGCGCGTAAACCTGTATGACCTTCAGCGAATACCATTTGGTGATTCTGAGTATAAGGTACGCAACCCTCGTCGATACACTCCCAATCTTTAAAAGGTTGTTAACGAGAGACATGTGGACGATAAATCCAACACCTCCTTGGGACAGATGGTCGCCCTTCCGGTGATAGAACAAGTTGCCGGATTCGAGAATCACCGTGTCCTCCCCCTCTCTTCGGACCTCGGATAATCCTATAATATTCTAGCGCAACTTGCCTATCTCTTCTTCCAGCTCCGGGATCTTCTCGTCAGTCCTCAGGGTGCGTGCGTTAAATATTGCCAGGTCGAGTCGTCGTAGGTGGCAACCGAACCTCCATCGGAGATTCTTAGCACTCCCTGCCCCGCCGTTACCATGGTCGCCATCGTAGCCAATAATAGCGGGGCCACCGGGAACTAGGGGCCGTCTATTTGTGTAATTGTTCATTCATTTGACTAAACAAATTCCGTAGGTTGGTGATGATTACGATGATTATAAAACAAATTCTAATAAAATTTG